CAGGAGATGAATCTGTTGCGTGAGCAGCAGGAGGCGCTGACCCAGGATCTGCAGCAGAGACGAGCCGAGCAGGAGAGTCTTCTGAACCAGAGGGACGACCTGGACTCACAGCTGCAGGTCTCTCTCTCACACACACACACACACACACACACACACACACACACTCACACTCACACTCACACTCACACTCACACTCACACTCAGAGACACACACACACAGAGACACACACACACAGAGACACACACACACACACACATAGACTCACACAGAGACACACACACACACACAGAGACACACACACAGAGACACTCACACTCAGAGACACACACACAGAGACACACACACACAGAGACACACACACACAGAGACACACACACACACACATAGACTCACACAGAGACACACACACACACACAGAGACACACACACAGAGACACTCACACTCAGAGACACACACACAGAGACACACACACAGAGACACACACACACACACACACACACACACACACACAGAGACACACACACACACACACAGAGACACATACACTCACACACAGCACCATACATACACACCTCACACAAACACACACACACACACTCACACTCACAGCTACATACATACATACATACACACCACACACACACACACACACACACACACACACACACACACACACACACACACACACACACACACACACACACACACATACACTCACACACAGCACCATACATACACACCACTCACACACACAGCTACATACATACATACATATACACACACACACACACACCACAAGCATGCACAAACATATCACAATCATATAATCAATGAGAGTCTTCAGAATGATTTACAATAAGCAGAAACAGTCTTGATACAAGTTTTCCATGAACCGTCACATAACCTGGCTCGGACAATATCACAATAGATCCCATGAGATGATATAAATGTTTCTACTGTAATATCCTCCCCTTAAATATTTCTAGTGATATCAATGAAGCCAGCATTGCTTTAGGGGCACATTTAGACTTCTATTTTTGTATCAATGTGACGAATCAGATTGAGTTGGGAGGCAAGTATTCCTCTAGATAAACCAAAACAGAAAGACATGCTTTTTTTTAATTAATAGTTTCTCATTTAAGTTTCAAGAACGTGTTTTTTCTCATAAAGAGTTGTCAAACCTCGCTGCAGGATCAGCAAGTTGAGGCTCATTCAGTCAGATTTATTGGACATTTAATCAAACACAGAACATAACTAATATTTCACTTTTTGTTTTGTCATGTTGGAGAAACAACGGGACCATCTACCCTTTAGTTATTTAGACATGTGCAAAGACCAATAAACAGTCCAAGGCAACGAAAGGTGCTGCAGAGAAATGCTATCCGTCTATTTTCACTTAATATGTGTTTCAACTGTTCTTCCTTACATATTGTCTTTGTGACCTCAGTGAAAAGGGAAGATGGAATTGAGGGAAACGTGGATTTAAAGGAAGTGAGATGTGGTCGTTTCACTCTGTTAATTTCTCTTTCTCTATCCTTCTTTCTTCAGGAGTCGAGTTTTGCCAACAGGAAGTTGTTGGAGCAGCTAACAGAGGAAGGACAAGAGAAGGACAAACTGCTGAAAGATCTGGACGAGGCCAAGAAGGTACACACACACACACACACACACACACTCTGTTTGAATACACACTTGTTTTTGTGACGTGCATAAAGACACATTAAGCTTCTGAACATGCTAATGAAGTGTGTGTGTGTGTGTGTGTGTGTGTGTGTGTGTGTGTGTGTGTGTGTGTGTGTGTGTGTGTGTGTGTGTGTGTGTGTGTGTGTGTGTGTGTGTGTGTGTGTGTGTGTGTGTGTGTGTGTGTGTGTGTGTGTGTGTGTGTGTGTGTGTGTGTGTGTGTGTGTGTGTGTGTGTGTGTGTGTGTGTGTGTGTGTGTGTGTGTGGTGTGTGTGTGTGTGTGTGTGTGTGTGTGTGTGTGTGTGTGTGTGTGTGTGTGTGTGTGTGTGTGTGTGTGTGTGTGTGTGTGTGTGTGTGTGTGTGTGTGTGTGTGTGTGTGTGTGTGTGTGTGTGTGTGTGTGTGTGTGTGTGTGTGTGTGTGTGTGTGTGTGTGTGTAGACGGCAGAGAAGAGGAAGGCCATGTTGGATGAAATGGCGGTGCAGCTGATGCAGGAGAAGTCCGACCACAAGGAGGCGCTGTCTGACCTCAAACTGCAGCACGAGAAGGAGGTGAGGGAGTTTATAAATACAGTCTAAGTTTGAGACATGATCTCTCATTCCTCTCCTTATGTACTTTCTCCTGTCCTTGTTGCCTCTTTTGCTCTCTCTCATCTCCTTGTTTCCTCTCCTCTCCTCTCCTCTCCTCTCAGGTCCTCGGAGTGAGGGCTCGATATGAGAAGGAGCTCCGAGGCCTTCACGAAGACAAGAACCGCTCCGAGGAGGAGATCCGACAGCAGCTGCGAGATGAAAAGGTAAACGGAATAGGAAGAAGGGCCAAAATATATCTGGGGAAATACGTTTGACAAGTGTGTGTCTATCATATGTCATCACAGATAAATGGTAGTGTCCATGTATGATTCTTATACCTGTGTGTGTGTGTGTGTTTGAGGCGCGGTCGAAGGCGCTGGAGGGGCTGCAGCAGCGGGTCGAGGAGCTGCAGGCTCAGGTTCTGTCCATGGAGGGAACCAAGGGATGGTTCGAGAGACGACTAAAGGAGGCCGAGGTCAGTCCCACAGACACCTGGAGCACATTTTATTTATTTGTTAACACTTTATTTATTGGTTTTTCCCCACACATAACACAATAACAGGAGAAAATACAGAGTACAAATGCAGGTGCTATGTACAAAATAAATACAAAAAAGATGAAAAAACAATTATGACTAAACAATAATGATAATAACATGAAAAGACCACGGTTTGGATGTAAGAATACATATTTATTGCCAGGAATACACAAATGAATGTAATGGAGTTTTGGCGATTAGGCCCCGTTGTGCAGGAGTATCATTCGGGAGGGGAGAACCGATCCGATCAAACCCCCCGGGGTCTAGACCCTGGTGGTGGTGAATGGATAGTTGGGGTCGGTCTGAAGGGGAGTGGCTTAGTTTGACCCTGGTGGTGGTGAATGGATAGTTGGGGTCGGTCTGAAGGGGAGTGGCTTAGCTTGACCCTGGTGGTGGTGAATGGGTAGTTGGGGTCGGTCTGAAGGGGAGGGGCTTAGCTTGACCCTGGTGGTGGTGAATGGATAGTTGGGGTCGGTCTGAAGGGGAGTGGCTTAGTTTGACCCTTGTGGTGGTGAATGGATAGTTGGGGTCAGTCTGAAGGGGAGTGGCTTAGTTTGACCCTTGTGGTGGTGAATGGATAGTTGGGGTCGGTCTGAAGGGGAGGGGCTTAGCTTGACCCTGGTGGTGGTGAATGGATAGTTGGGTCAGTCTGAAGGGGAGTGGCTTAGCTTGACCCTGGTGGTGGTGAATGGATAGTTGGGGTCGGTCTGAAGGGGAGTGGCTTAGTTTGACCCTGGTGGTGGTGAATGGATAGTTGGGGTCGGTCTGAAGGGGAGTGGCTTAGCTTGACCCTGGTGGTGGTGAATGGATAGTTGGGGTCGGTCTGAAGGGGAGTGGCTTAGCTTGACCCTGGTGGTGGTGAATGGGTAGTTGGGGTCGGTCTGAAGGGGAGGGGCTTAGCTTGACCCTGGTGGTGGTGAATGGATAGTTGGGGTCGGTCTGAAGGGGAGTGGCTTAGTTTGACCCTTGTGGTGGTGAATGGATAGTTGGGGTCAGTCTGAAGGGGAGTGGCTTAGTTTGACCCTTGTGGTGGTGAATGGATAGTTGGGGTCGGTCTGAAGGGGAGGGGCTTAGCTTGACCCTGGTGGTGGTGAATGGATAGTTGGGTCAGTCTGAAGGGGAGTGGCTTAGCTTGACCCTGGTGGTGGTGAATGGATAGTTGGGGTCGGTCTGAAGGGGAGGGGCTTAGCTTGACCCTGGATTCAGAGGGACGGGAGGTGAAAAGGGGTGGAGGGGGGTTGCGTCGAGTCACCTGAAATGACAGCTGTCAGAGGGGAGAGCAGATTTAAAAGGGTTAGCGGAGCGCTATGATAGGCTTGTGAGAATAGAGCGAAGTGATTGGTTAATCTGGGGAGTGACGCCCCTGATCACTTATTGAGAGGAGAGAGAGTATTAACATGGACATTCATGGATATGAATGAGTAAAGGCGGTCTTCCTGGTTGAACTTGCACTGAGCTTCATTAGCAATGACAAAAATAAACCAAAATACACAATGACATGATAGGACAGATACAGAAAACCCCTAAGACCCCCCCCCCCCCCCCCCCCCCCCCCCCCCTACCTCCACAGGGCCACACTGTGCAGTAATCGTCAAAAAAGGAGAAATAAAGATTCACCTGAAGAGCATTCAATAGTTTAGAAAATATATAGTATGTCACATTCCACAATTCACAAGATCTCTTACTCTTACTTATTGGGATATGCTATGAACTCTGCTTATCTTTTACAAGTTATATTATATTTAATGCCCCAGAATACATTCAAATCTGTATCCCCTGATATATAATCTAATTAGGATGGTCGAGGGAAGTAACACAAACACGAAAGCTTTACAAAAAACGATGTTTAGTAAATAAAGGCTTGATTTGTCGACTAAAGACTGCTGAGGCCACACGTTAGCTTCAGGTACATTTAGGAACACATTTTTACACAAAAGGACTATGGATTTTTCCTCCATCACCTAATCTAAAAATTGATTTGGGAACAGATATGAAAATACTGTAATATTTAATGTAATATAACTCACATAGCTGCAGCAAAGAGTTGCATCATGGGTAATGAATAAAAAAGACAATTCCCTGGCATTGTGGCATTGATTTTCATCCTCTTTATTTTTAAACTGCTGTGTCTCTGACAGTCCCTTTAGGAATGAATTTATAAATATATGGGCTACTCCTAACTAACTGAATGTAATACATAATTTGTTGGCATTTCTTTCTGCAGGAGAACATCGAGAAGAAGACTCTGGAACATCAGGAGGAGGTTGAGCGGCTGCAGAAAGAACACACACTTCAGCTGGAGGTACACACACACACACACACACACACACACACACACACACACACACACACACTCTTAATCTTAACCAGAGAAACTTACACACTAATGTTTTTTCAGAACAAAATGTTTAAGAAAGTGTTTTGTAATATAAATAACAAACACGAGTGTGTGGGTGTTTGTTTATGCTGTGTGTGTGTGTGTGTGTGTGTGTGTGTGTGTAATTGAATGTTTCTAATTAAAGCGTAGTTGTCTCCATGGTAACTTGGACAGGTTAAAGCGTGTTAACAGCAGATGAGAGGAGGCGGCTGGTGTGAGCGCTGACAGTCTGCTGCAGAGACTCTGAACGTTCACACAGTCTGTCCGCATGTTGCAGAAAACACACTCTGATGCTCTGCAAGAGAACCATGACCACGGTTCTGCCTCAGGGTTCTGCTTCTGGGTTCTGGTTCCTCTTCTGTTGTTTCTGCCTTGTCTGACAGCATTGAGAAAATATCCAGTGTGTTAGAGGTGTGGATGTTATATTGAGTACAGTACATTTGAGATACTTGTACTTCAGTTGAGTATTATAATGTCTTTCTACTTCTACTCAACTACATTTATCTGACAGCTTACCTTACCTAACTGATTAATATCTCTGCACACAAGACCTATGAACATGTGCATCTGAAAACAATAAGTACATTGTTAACTTTTTAATAGAAAGATAAGTAATGTGACACAACATTGTTATTTATGTATTTTGAGATTTGGACTAAAACACATTGTGATGGTGTCGTTTGGACTCGATGTGTGACTAGTTTCTGATGCTTTAGTATTAATAATGTCATTTCTATAAATAGTTTAACAGAAAAAGTCAAAATACTTATTATACTTTAACTTCCTTCTCCTGATTTAACTATTATTAGTGCAGTATTAGTACCTTTGAAATACTTCCTAGCACACTGCTTCCTTGTCTGATCCTTGTTGTGCGTTAGTGTCATTTTAAAGCTGAGATAATGAGATGCCCATGAAGGATTTGTAGGCTCTGGAAGGTTTTACAAAGATTAAACCCCATATAAAATCTGATTTGATACCAGGCCCTCTTTACAGTAAGGTATCTCTCTTATGCTAGACCAGAGCATTGGAGGAATGTCAATAAGTTATTTAACTAGAGTACCATACAGTACTTATACAGAATTCAGCTTAACAGAACAAGATGAGATGCAGAAAATACTCAAGTAAAAGAAAAGAAAATGTTGCTTTTTTTCAACTTGTGAGGAAAATAAGAGTTTGTCTTTACACTAAAATTCACAAAGAAACTCACAAAAAAACTCATGCCTTTTATAAATACAGATAAAAAAAAATGCAGAATAAACCCATTATTCCCAAACAATTAACTCTGCACATTTAAAAACATGTCCTAAAGGAAGCACTTACCTTCCTTATCATAAGAGTTTGATAAGGAACCAATAAAGCACTGCCCGCCGTGCATCATGGGATATGTCAGTGTGAATGTAACAAAGTACTCTCAGCCAATCAGATAACCCGGCTGACTCTGCGGCCCTCTGAGGAAACAGTTTGTTCCAGAGGGACTCCAGAGGTGTGTGTGTGTGTGTGTGTGTGTGTGTGTGTGTGTGTGTGTGTGTGTGTGTGTGTGTGTGTGTGTGTGTGTGTGTGTGTGTGTGTGTGTGTGTGTGTGTGTGTGTGTGTGTGTGTGTGTGTGTGTGTGTGTGTGTGTGTGTGGTGTGTGTGTGTGTGTGTGTGTGTGTGTGTGTGTGTGTGTGTGTGTGTGTGTGTGTGTGTGTGTGTGGTGTGTGTGTGTGTGTGTGTGTGTGTGTGTGTGTGTGTGTGTGTGTGTGTGTGTGTGTGGGTGTGTGTGTGTGTTGTGTGTGTGGTGTGTGTGTGTGTGTGTGTGTGTGTGTGTGTGTGTGTGTGTGTGTGTGTGTGTGTGTGTGTGTGTTGGATAACAGCCTGCTACAAGGCGCTGAACGAGGAAACTTAATAGGAAAAGTTAATTAATGCTGGAAGAAGTCTAATTAGCGGCAGGTCGGGTGTTCTGCAGGAACGCAGAGTGTCGTGGGTTTGAGTTTCAGACGCCACAAGTTCCTTTTCTGACAAGAACTCATCAAGGTGTTAAAAATAATCACGCCATACATCCGTCTGAGTCTGAAAGACTCTGATCTCTTAAGTTCCATCACTTTCACACCAAAATGTATTTGTATTAAAAGCCTTTATAGCTCATACATATTCATGTTATTATGTCAAACAGAAATTTGCACTTTAAAGATTCTTGGATTTGATTAAAAGCGAAAAAGACAATCATCTTTTCCTTTTTAAGAGACCCTATAATGCTCATGATCAGTTTTACATCAGTATGTAGTGTCTCTACTTTAAAGAGTCCTCTCCTGCTGATGTTCAGGTGTATATCAGTATGTAGTGTCTCTACTTTAAAGAGTCCTCTCCTGCTGATGTTCAGGTGTATATCAGTATGTAGTCTCTCTACTTTAAAGAGTCCTCTCCTGCTGATGTTCAGGTGTATATCAGAACGTAGTGTCTCTACTTTAAAGAGTCCTCTCCTGCTGATGTTCAGGTGTATATCAGTATGTAGTCTCTCTACTTTAAAGAGTCCTCTCCTGCTGATGTTCAGGTGTATATCAGAATGTAGTGTCTCTACTTTAAAGAGTCCTCTCCTGCTGATGTTCAGGTGTATATCAGAACGTAGTGTCTCTACTTTAAAGAGTCCTCTCCTGCTGATGTTCAGGTGTAATATCAGTATGTAGTGTCTCTACTTTAAAGAGTCCTCTCCTGCTGATGTTCAGGTGTATATCAGTATGTAGTGTCTCTACTTTAAAGAGTCCTCTCCCTGCTGATGTTCAGGTGTATATCAGTATGTAGTGTCTCTACTTTAAAGAGTCCTCTCCTGCTGATGTTCAGGTGTATATCAGTATGTAGTGTCTCTACTTTAAAGAGTCCTCTCCTGCTGATGTTCAGGTGTATATCAGTATGTAGTGTCTCTACTTTAAAGAGTCCTCTCCTGCTGATGTTCAGGTGTATATCAGTATGTAGTGTCTCTACTTTAAAGAGTCCCTCTCCTGCTGATGTTCAGGTGTATATCAGTATGTAGTGTCTCTACTTTAAAGAGTCCTCTCCTGCTGATGTGCAGGTGTATATCAGTATGTAGTGTCTCTACTTTAAAGAGTCCTCTCCTGCTGATGTTCAGGTGTATTATCAGTATGTAGTGTCTCTACTTTAAAGAGTCCTCTCCTGCTGATGTTCAGGTGTATATCAGTATGTAGTGTCTCTACTTTAAAGAGTTCTCTCCTGCTGGTGTTCAGGTGTATATCAGTATGTTAGTGTCTCTACTTTAAAGAGTCCTCTCCTGCTGATGTTCAGGTGTATATCAGTATGTAGTGTCTCTACTTTAAAGAGTCCTCTCCTGCTGATGTTCAGGTGTATATCAGTATGTAGTGTCTCTACTTTAAAGAGTCCTCTCCTGCTGATGTTCAGGTGTATATCAGTATGTAGTGTCTCTACTTTAAAGAGTCCTCTCCTGCTGATGTTCAGGTGTATATCAGTATGTAGTGTCTCTACTTTAAAGAGTCCTCTCCTGCTGATGTTCAGGTGTATATCAGTATGTAGTGTCTCTACATATCTCCATGTGTTAATGTTCACAAAGTTCTTTATTTTTCTCATACTGCCTGTGCTGCAGCACCTCTTTTCACCCTCTGTCTGAAACCAGAGCCCAGTCTGCTCTGATTGGTTAGCTGGCCGGCTCTGTTGTGATTGGTCAACCCCTTAGAGATGTCCCGCCCCTTAGCCTATCACGTACAATGTGTTGGAGTGCTAGCCAATAGAAGTGAGTGCTACTTAGTGATGTCACTTTGTTCCTGAAGTAAACAAAGGAGTCCAATGGAGGTGTTTCAGGCAGAAGGGGGGGGGGGGGCTGCTGAGTGTGTACAGCATATGTACATGCTATACATACAGTATATTTATAATATCATCTATTGCAAGGTGTGTGTGTGTGTGTGTGTGTGTGTGTGTGTGTGTGTGTGTGTGTGTGTGTGTGTGTGTGTGTGTGTGTGTGTGTGTGTGTGTTGTGTGTGTGTGTGTGTGGTGTGTGTGTGTGTAGTGTGTGTGTGTGTGTGTGTGTGTGTGTGTGTGTGTGTGTGTGTGTGTGTGTGTGTGTGTGTGTGTGTGTGTGTGTGTGTGTGTGTGTGTGTGTGTGTGTGTGTGTGTGTGTGTGTGTGTGTGTGTGTGTGTGTGGTGTGTGTGTGTGTGCTGTGTGTGTGTGTGTGTGTGTGTGTGTGTGTGTGTGTGTGTGTGTGTGTGTGTGTGTGTGTGTGTGTGTGTGTGTGTGTGATTACAGTGAATTAACAGACTCTCTTGTTTTCCAGGAGAATTACATGTTTTTTTAATTCTCCTTCAGGTGGGCGGCTGCAGCCTGGAGGAGTTTTCAATGTAGATTTCTTGTGAAATTAATTAGCCGCAGAAGATTAGAGGGGAATTAAATGTCGTTTTTTTTAAAAAGTTAATCCCAGAGTCAGCTGGATTAAGAGTGAGGGGGCACCGCTGGAGATGGAGGTTTAGACTTCTTTCAATATTTCCATTCACCAGGAGAGCAAAGGGATCACAGGAAGAAAAGTTTCTAAGATAGATTGTTGGCTGCATTTTCTTTTGTCTTTTCTGAGTTTTGTTGGAAATATTAAAGCACCTCCTTATCCTCATGCCTAGTCACATTTTTCACAGACACATATGCTCTTTGTATATGAGGGAATGGGATTTTAAGCGGTATGAGGAAATGGGAACAGTGCATTTAATGTGTAACCACAGGGGGTTCCAATTTTTTAATTTCTTCAGAATTTCTCCTGCAGAATTTCCTCACAGATTGAGAAGGATTGATGGGTTTTAGGGATGCTCCGATCGCCAATTTTGTGGCCGATCGCCGGAATCAGTGTCGGCCGATACCGATTGCCGATCCGATCGAGTGGGCGAGGCCTATGGGGATCTTCCATTTAAAGTGATGTTTAAAACTCAGTTAATGCTCATTCACTGGCGCTTCCACAAACAACAACCAACATCATTATTACATTCAAATGAAGTACATTATTCAAGTTTACATTAACTTTGGATAATAACACGGGAGAAATTAGCGGAAGCGCTCTCTCTCCTCTCTCCCCCTCTCTCTCTCCCCCTCTCTCTTTTACTCTCCCCCTCTCTCTCTCTCCTGACAGCCCGTCAGTATCGTCTCATGCAGCTCACTGATCCAGTAATGAGTGACCCGACAGTGAAGAATAAATATATGTATAACTAGTTTAGCTTGTTCCAGAGCTAGATCAAATAGCTAAGTGTGTTAGGTCTAACTCTTAGTGTGTGTTTTGCTCCGCTCACCGGTCCGTCACAGCGGGTAAAGCTGCAGGATTTCTGCTTCACACACACGTTTTCATACCACTATTTTACACCTTGAAATACTGCCAGACTGGTGAAGCCATTTTGGCGAGCTTGTTTTGCCGCGCACAGAGAAAAGTGTCATGTATTCTACCTCATCATTTTACGTCATGCGATCGGCTCTCGCGATCGGCATTTTTAGAGAGCACCGATCGATCGGCAGAGAGTGAGTATCGGCCGATATCGATCGGCGGCCGATCGATCGGAGCATCCCTAATCGGTTTATTACCAATCATAATTTCCCAAATAAAATAATTTCACATAGTCTTACTGACACCCTTTTGAATCCATATCCATCCAAACAACATAGATGAAGTCAATATTTAAAATGATACTACTATTATTATCATGATTATTTATGTAATTTGTGTTATAATACATTTATTAGTTATTTTCAAGTAGTCAAATACAATACAGTACATATACAGGGGAGAATTTATTTTAAAAAATTCTTAAAAATTAAAAGTATTATTGTAAAAATCATGTAATTTAGCATTGAATTAATAGTATTTCTATACACTTTTGTACATTTCTTAGGAGTTGTGGGGTCACCTTCCACTGTTTGAAGTCAAATCCATCACTGCACTCACGTTGATATACAGGATTTTAAGTTTTATTCTGAAACAGAGGGAACAATGTGATTCTGTTGCAGATTCAGAGTTCCTTGTGTTGTGTTTTTCCCAGTATGATGATAGAGAAATGTCCTCATGTGTCTCCGTGTCTGTGTGTCCTGCAGGAGAAGCAGTCGGAGATGGAGGGGTTGAAGCAGCAGCTGCAGGAGGTGGAGAAACAGACGGAGGAGCACAACGCCGCCATGGAGAAACTCAAACAGGTAACAGGGGTAACTTCTAACATCAGTGGGGATGGATATGAGAATATGGAGATAGTAATTCAGTTTATTTTATTCACAAACAGGTGAAAACAAAAAGACCATTTGGAGATAGTATGTGTGATTGGTATTTAAAATATACATAAGAAACAAATCTAGAATGGCAGAGAGAAACATTAGAAGCTAAAAACAAACACTAACCAAATACAATGCAATACAAAGGGGCTTTATTGTCATGAGCACATTTTAAACATAGTATTGCCAAAGCATTCCTCACAAGGCGTTATAACAGAACAAAGACAAAAAGAAACACTAAACATAAATGTGAACATACCCTAAAATTCATCTAAATGCTCCCAAAACATTGATTAATCAAGTACAAATGTTAGTGTTAAATAGGTAAGATAAAATATACTTAAAGGGGACCTATCATGCGAAATGCACAAAACATGTGTCCCCGGTGTGTCAGGGAACTCACGCAGCATCAGAAAATAAAACCCTCTCTCTTTTCCTCCGTACCCAAATCTCTAAAAACGGGGCTACAACGGAGCTGATCCAGATTTGCGTCCGATATGACGTAATATCTGAAATGTGGACCCACGGCCCTATCAGAAACGTTGCTATCAGAAACAATGCCTGACTGTTTTGGACGTAATATGGTCGGTGTTTACATTAGCATCGCTAACACTCAGAGCTAACCTGTACTGGAGAGCATGTGTGTGAAGAAGCAGGAAATAAAAAGGAACTCACCTTGTGGTATAACCGGCAAGAGAGAAAGCCTTTGAGCTCCATACTGTTTCAGAAACAATCCTTGATAATCCATGATATGGCGTTTCATCACGGCAGCATTTAGTTTAGACAGTAGCTGCCGGGTCCCGCATGAGCTCAGACCCCTCCTTTTTTTTAAAGCTTTATACCCCAAATCAGCACTTTTGAAACAGGAAGTGAAATAGAGGGATATGAGGCATGGCTAGAATGGGTGATCTGTTTGGTATTTTGAGCAAAACACTTCATAGACATGTTTTTTATATTTTTTTATATATCTGAGACCTATGCTATTGCCTAAAAATAGCATGATAGGTCCACTTTAACTTTAAAGGAACATTAAAGGGATTGTTTTACCTAGAGATGCATTTTTTTTAATCCCCTGATGTAAGCGTAGGGTATCGGTGCAGAGAACTGATCTGGTTCCAGCGCCTTTTTCTCAAAAATGTAATAAAATGTCTACCTCTTTGGAGATTTCAACAACATTTCACTTTATTGATCAGCTCACACTTTTGCATCTCTTACACAAACAATGCTGTCCTCTCAAATGTCTCATGTGGAGGTGTGTGGCGCAGTGGGTAGTGCGTTGGTGTTGGGATCAGGGGAGCACAGGTTCAAACCCCACTGCAGTCAGCATGTCGTGTCACCCTTCACCCCAAATTGCTCCTGTGGGGATTGTCCACAGTATTGAGTATGTAAGTCGCTTTGGATAAAAGCGTCTAACATGTAACATGTAATGTAATGTGACGCAGATCTTCACCAGCTCCACATCATATTCAGAATGTACTTCCTATTATGAAACTTTTAGAGCTCTGAATGGTCCGACTCTGCAGCCTTTTACCAGCAGGTCTCTAGAAAACCCAAGAGAAATGATTGTGTAGCAGTTGAAACATAATACATATCAAATATCAATAAGGTGCTGAAGTCTGATCAGATTTTGAAGAATACCCTGACCTTCTCAAATCTCCTCAGATCTTTTGACACATTTAAAATCAGCTAACAAGTTGCTGCTACCTGCCTTTTGTTTAGTTGTATGCTTTGCTTTGCTCTTTTTGCATCTTCTTCAACGGTGCTCTATAAATACACTTATACTAACTTAACATCTGAAAAAGTGCGACGGTGCTATAACAAAATAATACTTATCTGCATCAGCATTAAGGAAAAAGATAAACTGTATATATTTTTAAGTGTGGTGGTATTCATGTTTTATTCTTTGTCTCTCTAACCTCCATCGATCTGTTGTTGTCTCTCTGCAGGAGATAAAGGACACTGTGGACGGGCAGAGGATTCTAGAGAAGAAGGGAAGTGCAGCGGTGAGTACATGTCTATTGACTGATGTTTCCACACACACACACACACACACACACACACACACACACACACACACACACACACACACACACACACACACACACACACACACACACACACACACACACACACATAGCAGACACACACACACACACACACACATACACACACACACACACAGCAGACACACACACAGCAGACACACACACACACACACACACACAGCAGACACACACACAGCAGACACACACACACACACACAGAAGCACACAGACACAGACACACAGACAGACACATACACAGACAGAAGCACACAGACACACAGACACACAGACAGACAGACACAGACACAGACACACAGACACACACACACACACACAGAAGCACACAGACACAGACACACAGACACACACACACACACACAGAAGCACACAGACACAGACACACAGACAGACACATACACAGACAGAAGCACACAGACACACAGACAGACACACACGCACACGCACACACACACACACACACACACAGACACATAGCAGCCACACACACACACACACACACACACACACACACACAGCAGACACACACACACACACACACATACACACACACACACACACACAGCAGACACACACACAGCAGACACACACACACACACACACAGAAGCACACAGACACAGACACACAGACAGACACATACACAGACAGAAGCACACAGACACACAGACACACACACAGACACACACACAGACAGACACACACACACACGCACACACACACACACACACACACAGCAGACACACACACACACACACACACACACAGCAGACACACACACACACACAGCAGACACACACACACACACACACAGCAGACACACACACACACAGCAGACACAGCAGACACACACACACACACACACAGAAGCACACAGACACACACACAGACACACAGACAGACACACACACAGAAGCACACAGACACACAGACACACACACAGACACACACACACACACACAGACACACACACACACACACACACACACACACACACACACACACACACACACACACACACACACACACACAGCAGAGTGGTGGACTGACGGAGAGATAGAGACAGACAGGTGGATGCTTAGGCAGTGTGGAATTTGAATGGAGATGAGGGAATAACAGAGTATATTTTGCAGATTAATTGAAGAGCAGCCATGCATGGAAACTAATAATTAGAAAGTAAATCTCTGACCCTGTGCGTGTGTGTGTTTTTGTGCGTGTGTGTGTGTTTGTGTGTGTGTGTGTGTGTGTGTGTGTGCAGCTGAAGGACTTGAAGCGGCAGCTGCAGCTGGAGAGGAAGAGAGCGGACAAACTGCAGGAGAGACTGCAGGAGATTCTGACCAACAGCAAGACCAGGACAGGTACCTGAACGCACCGTTAAACACCCTGAATGTAATGTCCCATCATGCTCTGCTCTAACATGTCCACTAAATTGCACTGGTCATATTCTCTGGACCATATTTAGGCTAAAAAGAAGGCTAGATTAAAAACAAGGCCCTGGGTCCAAATAACATATTGTTCTTGCAAGGTGTTTGGCAGATTCTCCTCCAAGCATTTTGTATAAAAAAGGAAAATCACAGTGCTCTTTAAAGGTTCTTTTGACAACAATATCTTGACAACATATCACCACTTTTATAAGACGGACTAGCTTTGCTCTCTTGCCTCTTATCTATATATCTGGGCTATTTTTTTTTGACAAATATTTTTATTGGTATTTCGTTTTTTCAGCATAAGACATTGCACAAGTATATATCCCACAAAGAAAAATCAAAAACATAATAATACAAGAAAATACAAGAAAGAAAGAAAAAAAAATATATATATATATATATATACACATATATATACGCGTAAGTGGACATGTGGTAAATATTGTAATTTAAACATTGCAAGTTACAAAGCCGGCAGACAAGTAGCCACATCACATCCAACCATTATAGAGGACATGGTCAATTAGGAGGTACATTTATTTCCAAAAACTCCAAGAATTCCCCCCATATTTGATGGAACGCTTCGGGCTTTCCCTTTATGGCAAATGTCAATTTTTCTAAGGCTAAACAATGAGAGAGATTTTTTAACCAGTGATTGATCGATGGGTTTTCTGGGTTTTTCCAAAAGACAGCTATCGTGTGTTTAGCTTGGAGAAGAGAAAAAACTACTAGTCTTTTCTTAGTGATATTAAGTCTGAGAGTTAGAGGGAAAACCCCAAGAATACAGAGTTTTGGGCATTCTGGTAATGTGGCGGAAATTATTTTTGACAATGTGCCCAGAACATCTTTCCAAAATGATTTAATATTTGGGCAGTCCCATAAGCAGTGGAACAATGTTCCCTTATCATTATCACACTTTACACATTGATCTGGAATATTTGCATCAAAATGGTGTAGTAGGGATGGAGTTATATAGGTACGCATAATCCATTTGTACTGTAGGAGTCTAAACCTCGTGTTAATAGTTTGAACCTGGGCTTTGTGGCATATCTGCCCCCATTCCTCAATTGTTACCTCTGCATTCAAATCAGTAGACCAAGCAAGTCTTTTATTCTCTGAGGACTCTTCTGATTCAGTTTTGCAAAGGTCATAGATCAAAGACACCTGTCCATGACCAGAGGAGTGATGTACTATAATTGTTTCCAGCTTTGACAGAGGTGGACATAATAGTGAGTGATTTTGTGCCTTAGATATATAACTCCTTAGCTGCAGATACTTAAAGAAATGTGTTGAGGGAATATGATGTTTATTTCTTAGCATCTCAAAGGTCATCAGTTTGTTGTCATCATATAGATCACTGATCTTATTGATGCCTCTGTTGGCCAACATTTTAAACCCTGAGTCATATGTTCCTGGTATAAATCTTCTGTTACCCCATACAGGAGTAAAAGAGGATATCTGTGACTTTAAACCTAAGTGGCTTTGTACTTTGAACCAGACATCAACTGTGTTCCTGACAAAAGGGTTTTTTGTATTCTTTTTAAGCTGTTTTGGAGAGTCAGAGAACAAATACAAATTCAAATACAAATACAAAAAAATATCTGGGCTATTTAGTATTTGTTTGACATTAGTTCTTTCACCATAAGCACCTACTGGAAGATGCTTGCTTTGTATGAATGAGCTTCACCGCTCAGTCTGACAGCCGTATAGCAATGAGGATAATCCACGTAAGGAGATAAAAGTCAAATATCCACCGGCAGAAAAATCAAAGGTTCCCCTCAAATGAGCTTTTCGTTCTCTGTTATGATAGTTTCCATCTGTAAGACAAGGCAAAAAACAAGCTTCACCTCCAATTTCTACAGTAACATTACTCCTAACATTAATATGTTCCACTCTAAGCGCTCAGAGAAGGCAAAACAACAGTGGTGCGTTCAGAAATATTACAATGGTTGGAGCACTTTTTCTCAAGGCTTCCACATGCGGCGCCATCCACTCATTGAAAACAGATGAAATAAGACGCTAGCAGTCAGAAAAAAATAAATGTAAGCACAGACCCCAGTGCTTCTGTTTTAAAATCAAAGAACACGTGTGCTAATCTGAGCAGCCACAGAAACTTAAAGCTTTCATAGTGCTGTATACATTTTTCAGCAGAGGGATCCCTTAGAAGTCTTTCTGTCTCCTCTCGTTTACAATATGGGGAAATTAGAGCCGGAAGTTCTATCAACCAACATCTAACAACAACTAACCAATTGTCACATGTCTCTCGGCCAAATAACACCCAGGATTTCATGACTTGATCAGATCCGATTCAGCTATGTTGCTAATTAGAGGAACAACCCTCGGTGTAAAGATAGTGAATCCAGCTCTGACTGTCTGTGAATGTTTTAATATCTGGTGTTTTTGACACTGCATTGTTAGCTTGTTGATTCAATTCTGATTGGATGTGTTGTTTGGGAAACACCCTTTTTCTAAACGTGGTCTATATTTAAACCCAACAGAGACAGAATTAGTGAATGAATGATGAATCGCATGAAGAGCTGAAAACATGTGAGAAAGAATTGTGATATGTGTGCAGGGGATTGTAACATCCCTCACAATAACACATGAAACAGACAGAAATGTCATATTTCATGTCGTATTTCCACGTGGTTTTCCAATGTTTCAGCTCTGTTAATCATCTCTTCTTCTGTAGTGGTTTAATGGCACCGACTGCAGCTGTTCATCTCCATAAACCAATGAGCTAAACATTTACAAAACAGTGGTGAATGGAAACAAGCATTCGATCATGTTTTATTTTCTCTAAATTTGGTTAAAAAAATACTTGGCCCCAAGTGGTAAACCCTGTCCACAGACTTTAATAATGTCCTTGTATTAGTAATGTTCCCATTTCTCTGCAACAAATCGATCTGCTTAACCTCAGAGCTCTGTTCACTGTCAATGGAGCAGAACCTGACATTAAATCAAAACAAACAAACAGGAAGAGTATTTAAATCCGCCTAAATGGACGGCATTCTGCTTTAAATGCTTCAGTAAGGAAAGACAGCAGTTCTTCGCCAGTGTGTGAGTGTGTGTGAGTGTGTGTGTGTGTCCTAAGTGGCTGAAATGTGATTGTAACGTGACCGATGGGTCCGATAATCGGCGGTGTGCTAACCCTGCGTCAGGAGATTCTGGCTCAGTCCGGAACCTGCTGCTCAATATTTAATGCAGAGCTCTGATTCCCTGAGCTGACTTGGACACACTGGCGTCTGCTGGCAAAACACACGCACACACACACACGCAAACAAAAACAAACACAACACACACCTGCACAGTCCGTCACTTTCTATTTCTCTGCATTTAACTGGACTTTTTACACACTTAATATTTGTCTCGTTACAAATCTTTATTTCTTCTCCTTTCTTTGACTTTCCTGTCATACTTTCAGTAATACACACACACACACACACACACACACACACACACACACACACACACACACACACACACTAAGAACGGGACGGGGCAGGGCAGGGCAGTCCTCAGCATCATGTATAATCTATGAGGAGTGATAAATGTTTAAAAGGCTCTTCTGCACAAACCTGAGAATCAGACATTTTAAAGTAGCATACTTATCCCTCTGCCCACTCACAGCACCTGCATTAAAGGGTGGGTTCAGTGTCTTAAAGGGACAGTACACTGCATTAAACGGCGGCTTGAGTGTCTTAACCTGTTAAGCCCGAGAGACCCCGGTACCGGGGCACTGCCGCAACATCTTGCAGGAAACAGTGTCTGAGGGCATGTTCATTTAATAAACTATGAATGTTTTATATCCATGTAATGAAAAGAAACTCATCTAACTGATCTTTTTTTTTTTTTTTTCAAAATAAAACCCACAATGCTAACACTGAGCCTCTGAATTAGCAACGAGCGAAAAATGCTAACACCTTACTGCACCGAAAATCACTCACAAAACCTTATTATTTATCTCTTCTCTACATCCATGACATCGTTTCTCATCGTGAGGTGACACAGAATCGTTGGACACCCACATTATCACTGAATTATACGAAATGGCGACGTTATAAGCAAAAACGGACATCAAAACAGGTGACGCTAGGTAGCTAAAAATGCTAACAATTTTACCTTGGCTCTGTAGTCTCTCCAAAGTGGTCTTCAATGGCATTAAAATGATAAAAACGCTGCTGAAGTTAATCCATAGGTTAATCTAATGTGTCTGTGTCCCTTTGAAATGATTTATGATAATCCATAAGCATTAAAACTGCTTTTCCGTTTCCAGATGTCAAAGCTAGAGATAGGTTCACTCTGATGCAAAATTACATGCGCGAAGCCCCCACCTTTTCTCTTCACAATGAGTGTGTGTGGGGGACTCCCCCTTCGATTCTATTGGCTCTAACGGTCAGAAAGAGGTGTCAACCATCAAAATCGAGCAAGGGGGGCCAGAGATATTTAAAATCCACCCAAATGACCCCAGAAGTGGTTTCTTTTTGCTAAATCTCTCTAAAAAGGTCAAATTTCACTTGTTTTGCTTCAATCTTGATACAGGGTACTTATTATATGTTGTACTTTGGATTCCTAAAGCTTTTAGTCTACTAACCCATCATCCAAGGGTAGTTTTCACTATAAGTAAAAAAGAATTTTTGGACGGACACTATAATTTACAGTTTTTTACTATGTAAAATCTGAATTTTCTTTAAAATAAAAAACATATATATTGATTCTGACTTGTCTACATCCAACTCACAGGTTTATCATTACTTTGAGAAAAAAGATTGTTAATTTAACCCTTTTAGAAGGGAAGATATGGTCATTTGTTCGGGGAATGTCATTTTCGAGCCTGAGACCTGAAAAACAGGCTCAGGGCTTAACAGGTTAAAAGGACAGTGCACTGCATTAAAGGGCGGGTTCAGTGTCTTAAAGGGACAGAGCACTGCATTAAAGGGCGGGTTGAGTGTCTTAAAAGGACAGAGCAGTATAATAAAGGGCGGGTTCAGTGTCTTAAAGGGACAGTGCACTGCATTTAACAGTGGGTTGAGTGTCTTACAGGGCCGGTCAACTGTGTTAAAGTGACGTGCCACTCCTAAAAGGAGTCATAAGGAGTCATTGTCATAAGAAATTTCCCCTCAGCATAAAAAAGTCTTGTCCTTTAGGTGGCTAAAATAAGTTTTGCTTCTGCCCTTGTCCTTACAACTTCATAGTTGACCAATATCTCTCTCTCTTCAGGTCTGGAGGAGCTGGTTCTGTCAGAGATCAACAGTCCCAGTCGGAGTCAGCCCACCGGAGACTCGTCCTCAGTCTCCTCCTTCTCCTACAGAGACATGATGAAGGAGTCCCAGCCGACCAATCAGAGCAAGGTGGGTGGAGCCTGTGAAACAGAGTTTGGAAAGATTCACGTTTTTTAGCCTAGTGAAGTTTTAAAAGGGTTAGGGTTAGAGTGATGAGTTTCTTCTGCGAAATAAACACGTGATCAATTTTGACCACGCCCCTGAGAAAATAGGAATCAGAATGGTTCAAATCGAAATGATTCCCAAACCTACTAAACTGAAAACATCCCATCATCCTCCTCTCTCTCTTGCTGTCTCTCCTTCATTCAACTCTCCTTCCATTTTAACTTCTCTCTGTTTTTGCATCATCATTACACTTTACTTGTATTTTAACAGAGTCTTTGAAGTTCCTCTGTTGTTATTTTTACCCCCTTACTGTTTCATCAGTGTGTGTGTGTGTGTGTGTGTGTGTGTGTGTGTGTGTGTGTGTGTGTGTGTGTGTGTGTGTGTGTGTGGTGTGTGTGTGTGTGTGTGTGTGTGTGTGTGTGTGTGTGTGTGTGTGTGTGTGTGTGTGTGTGTGTGTGTGTGTGTGTGTGTGTGTGTGTGTGTGTGTGTGTGTGTGTGTGTGTGTGTGTGTGTGTGTGTGTGTGTGTGTGTGTGTGTGTGTGTGTGTGTGTGTGTGTGTGTGTGTGTGTGTGTGTGTGTGTGTGTGTGTGTGTGTGTGTGTGTGTGTGTCTGTCTATTGATAGAAACACTGTAAATAGAGCAGACAGGTTCAGTTTATGCAACTGAGTTTCTGTCAAAAACACGAGACTCTGCTGAGGCCGCCGTCAGGTCAGTTTACTGTGTTGTGGCGGTCGTCATTAATAACAGCGTCACAAGACAAATAAGTGGCTGTTTACCACGTTGAACAAACTCCCAGTACAGTCATCAAAAAAAATCTAGTTTATGTTTAATTCCTAAGGCTGCATTTCAAATGAAAAAAAGTGTTCTGACTATGTCTACTGGTTACTACGTCTGTTTCCATGAGGCAAGTTCACAATTGATTGCAGCATTGCAAATCCATGTGGCAAAGTATAAATGCCGCCTTTGATCTAAGAACAAAGAAAGCAGAACATGCAATGAATTAAAACATGAAACAATATTTGGAATTCAATATCCTGGTCTGTCAGTGCTTTGGTTGACTATAGCTCTAATTGTGTGATAAAAGACACTCTCTGTAATCCATGACTGTTTCCTTTTTCCCATATTTGTACAATTGGAAATGAGAGGATGTCTCAGGTGCAATTCCCAAAATAGGAAGTGGTGCAGGGATTTTTTTGTAGGAAGTTAGCATCGCAAATGTTCCCTCGATAAAAGCCATTTGGATTTTTCCATATTATTTTTGGTTGTTGCAGAAAATAATCTCTGGGGCAAATACGTTTATGATACCTCCAGTTTTGTTCAGATGGATAATCTCCACAGATTAACAACACTTTATGATCTTCAAAGTAAAAAGCTAACAGTAGGTTATAAAGGAACTACTTCACGTCACCACCGCCAGGGTTGGGTTGTAACGGAATACATGTAACGGCGTTACCAGTGGCGACTGGTCATTAGGGGCAGGTGGGGCACAGCCCCACCTAGTGTCAGCAGAAAGTATTACAAATAATGATTACAAAAATGCAAAAAAATAAATAAAAAAATATATAAAATATATTTTAAGATCATGTTTAGTCATCTGATTCGTCTGTACATTGCTGTTTTAGTCTGTGTTCTTCTAATTAGTGTGTCTACACTCACAGTGTGTGCCTATTGAGCTGTTTAGAGCCATGTGGGACAAAACCTGATTATGCCCCTTCCTCTCGCTGTGAAGTGAACGTGACTGTAAAAACTACACTGCGCATGCTCAGAGTATTTTGTAATGAAATGTGTGTGGCAAAAAAATAATGACCAGAGGGGCATGGAGCTACCATCCCCACCATACGTCATCTCAAATCATTCAGAGCTGATTGGCTGTAAGTACGTGTGCCGCGAAAAGTGTGGTGTGTGAAGAGGAGACGAGAGAGCTGCAGTGGCGCGTCCTAAAACCAGGAAGTAAGCACAAAAAAGCAATGAGATTTCTCCAGAGGATTTTAGAAAATAGCTCGAAATAAGATCTGTGGGAAACGTACCTGTTAGATAAATGCACGTTTTGATCAGCCGGATAACATCCACATGTCTACCCTAATTTTTTTATCATAAATCTATGGATTAGATTTATGATAGACTTTTGAAACTACAAGAACATAAGGAGGACTTTTACAAAAAAGTAATAGAAATGTTTGTCCAGAAGGATAGGCAAATGGACTTCATCTTCAAGTCAAGGTAAGACCTCCATTTTATTGAAAATGGGATCTTACTAAGAGAGAACAATTCAATATTTAAATGATAAAATGACATTTTTTGGGTATCCTTTTGTTGAACTGTCTGTTTAAAATTAATCGAAGCATCAGACAAAAAAAGCTTTTGAAAATAATATTATATTTTGGTTTAGGTCAAAATATAATATTTGTAAACCTGAAGAGTCAGTGCCAGTGCCTCACCAGCCATGAACCTCACTGCACATCACTGCACGTCACTGCAGAAGCTTATAGACATCTACGTTTTTTGTGCCCCACCACTTTTGTACATATAAAAACGCCACTGGGCGTTACGTAATCAGAATACAAAAATCAAGTAACTGTATTCAGCTCGCGTTACATTTGAAAAACGAGTAATCTGATTACAGTTACTTTCGTAAACCTGAAGTGAATACATTTTGGATTACTTATTGGAATTATTGGTGGAAAGATTTCCTCACAACATTTAATATTCATTACTAAAGGTACAGCCGAATCATCACAGCGCACAAAACCTATTACCGCCGCAGATGGACCAAAAAAGGGAGCGTTTGAAAAAAATGTGCGGGTCCGCTCAGTGAAACAATAACAACGAAACATGGAGGAACACAAGTCTGCGTTTAAATTGTGTGTGTGTGTGTGTAGAGGTGTGTGTGGTTAAAACACATCAGCCTGCGGTCGCTCTTTATCCTTTCTAATGATTCTTTCTGAAGGTAAGCACAGTGAAGGCGGTGCGTGAAAGGCGGTGCGTGAAAGGCGGTGCGCGCTCCTCTTCTCAGAGGCTGAGTTAACCCTCCCGCTGCCTCCTGGTGCTGCAGAGATTTCATGAAGTGAAGGAGGTTTTCCTTCTATAAAACAGCTGTGGGCAGCAGATACTGTGAGTGTCACGGACATGAATTCATAGATCAAGGCAGACTGGTGCACAGTGCACACACTCTCCTGTTTTGCCAATCCGGTGCGTAAACAAATATAGCTCTACACCCCTGGCCGAAATGTCCTTAAAATGAAGTCCGAGTTCGACATTTTAATTCATGTCCTGCCAACACTGGCAGGACAGAAGGCGACACGCCCGTTCTAAGCCGTGTCCCTCACTCCTCACATCCCAAGCTGCATCCCCAAAAAGTGTATTATGTTGTTACATCGTTTCAGATGTTATGTTTCAGTTGTGCTCTTGATAAGCCATTAAAACAGTAAAAACACGTTCAGTTTCCTTTTGCTTTTTGTGTCTCCTGTAGCCTTCACCAAAACATACCCATCTGTGATGGAAAAAGAAAGTAATCCAAAAGTAATCTGAATACGTTACTTTTTTAAGACACGTAACTGTATTCGGATTACTTTCAGAGCCATGTAATCAGTAATCAGTAACTGATTACATTTACAAAGTAACCCTCCCAACCCTGACCACCGCTAAGCTAAAGGCGGCTAATGTTCGGCGTGATGACATTTAGTCGTCTCATTTAAACACTGCCGTAGAGCAAAACGTTAAAATCTCTTAAGACCTTAGTTCACGTTTACAACCACAAACACGTTCAGAAAACCTAACCCGAGATTGCTAGAGTGATGACTCATTCCTGCACCCCTCGAAAAGCACTCTCATTGAAGCATGCTAAGGTTTTCACACCTAAAAGGCTGCAAGTGTGAAGAACCTGAAGTCATTTCCTCTGTACAAACTGTCTTTGTCTGATATCCAATAACGTTTTTCTCCTTTCTGTGTGTCAGTCTGGAGGAGGCAGCCCTCAGTCTCAGCGTCCGGCCGAGTTATCTGACGACGAGGTCGGGGAGTTGTTCCAGCGCCTGGCCGAGGTGCAGCAGGAGAAATGGATGCTGGAGGAGAAGGTGAGCAGCCACTTATTACCTGTCTTCATCTCTACTAGTCTACTTGCACTGTGAACCCGGAGATGTTGAGAACACACAAGTTTAATGTTAGAAATGTACAGTACGGGTCCCCAGCACATAGAAACTACTGGATGCTATCTTGCATATGTTGGGCATTTTGCACAGTTTCATTTATATTGGCATTAATATCTATATGCAGACATAAATAGGAATAGCTAGAAACATGGCTTGACGGATTTGGAAAATGTTGGTGTGGTTTTTTAAGTATATTGAGGACATTTTAGGATCAAACATTTAGTTTTGAGTCCCTTTTAAACGTAAAATCAGCCCATCAGGAGTACAAATATGGCCACTTCCTGGTTTAAACTGCCATTTGTTTATCCTGAAAATGTCAGGAATGGATTCAACATCCTCAATAACCTCCAAAAACCACTCCAAAATGGTCCATAGTGGCCAAGATTTTTTAATATTTATTTGCATATGATAATTAATGCAACTTATGCTAATTGTGCAAATTGCCCAACATATGCAAGTTAGCGTCCTGCAGTTTCTATGTGCTTGGGACCCTTACTTTACATTTCTATCATGAAACTTTGGGGTCCTCAACATCTCCGGGTTCACAATAAGACTCTGAGCTGCAAACAGACTTGTCAGTCTCTCTCTGAAACGCTTTATTAAAATCAACATCAAGATGTGTACAAAGTCAATCAAACCTTCACCCTGTCCTCCTGTAACGTCTCCGCGCTGCCTCGTGACATTTTACCACTTCACTTGATGCCTCGAGTCGACAGTCGGGTCAATGATAACAAAAAGTTCCTCCTGTTTTTAGAAGGAGGGTTATGTTTGTAGATGCATTATTAATATCCTCTGCAGCATTCAATATTTCTGATGTTTCCTCTGAGGGGTCAGGGCCGTGTCTCTGCAGACGCTGCAACAATTCATCTGATTGGTGATCCACGCATTATTTATGGGCACTTAATTCTGATCAGTAGTTGTCTGCTTTCAGGAAGTATACCATGTACACAGTCTATGTAAAATACTCCATTTGTTGTAGTAAAAGCTTATAAAATACAATATAAATCTTGGATGCTGTTGGAGCTCTGAAACTTCATTCTTTAATATATTAGAGACTAGATTGTTAGAATACAAATCAAAACTCTGATTAGACGTGTGTCAGAAAATTAATGTTTGATTAACAACAGACCAGTGCTTTAATGTAAATAAGTACATTTGCTCAAATACTGTAAGTAAGGGAAAGTAGAAGTACCTCAACATTTTTATATTTCCATTTTCACCTACTTTATGCCCTACATTTTAGATAGATTTTTGTTTCTTTTTACTCTATTTTATTTGTTGGGAAGCTCTAGTTACTACTTTATCAACTGATAAATGATGGTGTATTATCTTGGATTGAACTGTGTAGAAGTACATGCATCTAGTAGAATATGCTCTATACTTACCAGCTGTACGGTTAAAGAGATGAAGACATTAATGCATCATTCATTTGAATCCGATAATAAAATATACATGAATCTAGAGGCAATTCTCTACATTAAGTACGGTAATACTGTTGTAGTTTAAGTAAAGTAAAATAAGTTAAAGGTGGGGTAGGTAATTCACTTCAGAAACACTTTTTGTTATATTCCATGGAATGCTCTTAACATCCCGATAGCAATGAATATCTTAAGTGCTTTAACGATAAATCCATTAATAAATGTCATCTGTGGAAGCCGTAGTACTGTAAAAAGCACGACCAATCATCTGAGCCGGCCCGGCTAAAATAACTGGATGGCCTACCTGCCTGTCAGCCTTCCATCTGTGCACAAACTTATCTCGTGCCCTCATTGGTCATGTGCGCGTTCATGTGTGTTGGAGGAGGGGCTCTGTAAGGAAGTCTGAAGGAAGGGGCAGATTTTTTCGGCTGCCTACTTTCAAATTCTAGCGCACTCGAGCTGGTTTCTCCATTCTTACCTACCCTACCTTTAAGTAGAATTTCTACTTTCAAGTGAAACATCTTCAGCAGACTGAACACAAACTGTTTTAATTTGTCTCCTTCAGGTGAAACATCTGGAGGTGAGCTGCTCGTCGATGGCTGAAGACATCTGCAGGAAGAGCTCCATCATAGAGACCTACGTGATGGACAGCCGCATCGGTAACACGCACACACACACACACACACACGCACACACACACACACGCACGCACGCACGCACACACACACACACACACACACACACACATTATGAGATGTAACAGTATGATGACCACAGTTTGAAGATGTGAGACTAGAATATTAAGACTGAAACTAATATTTGAAAGGCGTGTTATTAGTCCTGTGGATTACTGTTGGGCAATGTGTTAAGTAAAATCATTCCTGTAAGTAATGGAGGTAAGAAAGATTAAACTCTTTATAAACCAGTTTTGAAAGTTGTCAAAAGGTCTTATAAAAAGATACTATTCAGTTGCATTATGGGAAATGTAGGATCCTAAGTTTCTGCAGTTCTAGTTGGAATATCTCCATCGCCTTTGCACACATTCAGACTTCTCACATTTTAAAGGAGCTCTTCACTGAATCATTCACGTGATGTAGAAAGTATATATCGCTGATATAAAGCAGCATCTTTAAAATGCTAAAATGCTGCTTTTGTTATTTAGCAGACAAATCGTTTACTACAAGCTCTTATAATAGCCCGTTGACTTCAAACAATGCGACATGACGATTCCCTGGTTCACAGTGCTCAGAACAAAGCCAGGTAATATATAAGAAGTGCATCAGTCAGCAGAGAGTGTGCCGCCTCAGCACGTCGTTTATCTGAACATGACACTTCGTTACGACCACTTGAATCCACCGCCTCCATTACCTCCACACAGCTTTACATGGAGCAAACTGCCACAGGAACAACACCATGTGATCCAATGATGCAAACATGGAGCTGTGGTTCCTCTCTGTTAGTAGTCTGAAATATTCAACATTTAATCTCTCTGTTTGAATCCTGTGTGTCTTTCTCTCATGTTTCTCTGAGTTCAGTGCTGCTATTTTTAGCTGCACACTGATGTGGAGTGAGTGTGTGTGTGTGTGTGTGTGTGAAGTGTTTTTTAATAACTCCTCAAACTATCAGCTGATTTATTTTTCAATTAAATACCCTCCTCCTCCTCCTCCACCCTTCTTCTCCCCTCTTCTTTATAATGAGCATCGCTGCAGACACACATGAATCATGCTCTATCAAACTGTACAATAAGAGGAACTACAGTATTTTTTAAATTCTGTTTTCCCTTTCATTTCAACGCTTGATGATCATGTTCAAATAAACCACAGTAGAGACACATTAAAGAGTCAACGGGCTGGACGTTAATGATGAGAAACAAGGACAATTAATAGCTATTGAATTAGTCCGATCGTCAGTACATAACACGGAAGACCAAAAGTAAATTATCTCGCTTTATTTTCTGATCATATGGAGAGTTTCTCTGCCAAAAACAAACAATCTGTGAATGACTGTGTTACATTCATGTACAAATAGTTACACCTCCCCGCACCAACACCCCCAACTGTTTTTCTCTCCACATGTTTTCAATTTCAGTTTGACTGGTTTAATTCTAATATATATCTATATTCTCTCCCAACTAAAGTTGTAATAATGTTAAATTCTAATGGGCAGTAAAACAGTAGTGTGTGTGTGTGTTGTGTGTGTGCTGTGTGGTGTTGTGTGTGTGTGTGTGTGTGTGTGTGTGTGGTGTGTGTGTGTGTGTGTGTGTGTGTGTGTGTGTGGTGTGTGTGTGTGTGTGTGTGTGTGTGTGTGTGTGTGTGTGTGTGTGTGTGTGTGTGTGTTGTGTGTGTGTGTGTGTGTGTGTGTGTGTGTGTGTGTGTGTGTGTGTGTGTGTGTGTGTGTGTGTGTGTGTGTGTGTGTGTGTGTGTGTGTGTCATACTCTCACACACAGCTCCATACATCCAGTGTTCATTTACATTTAGTTAAAACTTGTCGTGAAAACGCGACCGAGCGTGTCGCCGTTATTGTAGCGTTGCTAGGCAGCAGTGGTAATCTGTGGAGAGCAGTTGGAGGTTTAGTGCCTTGCTTCAGGGCACGTCAGCAGCTCACGCTCAGAAACAAAGTAGTAATCAGATCAGAAACTGCAGTACAATTACACGCTGGGATAATACTCCACTGCAAGTACTGCGTTCAAAACCTGAGGTAAAAGAATCAATGTGCATTCAATTGTTTGACTATTATATATCTCTACAGCTTCTGGATTAATATTACAGCTACATTAATGTATATGTGGTATTTTACTAATGATGGAGGAGGTCACAGCAGGTAGAGGCCCCCTCTGATCCCCCATGATGCATTGCACCGATTATAAACGCAGTAGAGGATTTAAAACAGCAGGAGCAGGAACTACTTTATAAAGTAAAAACTAAAAGGCTAATAACACAATGTGACTTGTGGTGAAAAAACAATCCTGTAAGTCCGTGGCTGGGGTGGTGGGGGTCTTTTATAATCCGGAGGGCTTTCTTCCTGAGCCGCTGGGAGTAAAGGTCCTCCATGGATGGCAGCTCCGTCCTGGTGATGTTCTGTGCAGTTTTCACCAGCCTCTGTAAAGCCTTACGATTGAGGGCGGTGCAGCTGCCGTACCAGGCCGTGATGCAGCCAGTCAGGATGCTCTCTATGGTGCACCTGTAGAAGGTCAGGATGCTCTCTATGGTGCACCTGTAGAAGGTCAGGATCCTCTCTATGGTGCACCTGTAGAAGGTCAGGACGCTCTCTATGGTGCACCTGTAGAAGGTCAGGATGCTCTCTATGGTGCACCTGTAGAAGGTCAGTATGCTCTCTATGGTGCACCTGTAGGTCAGGATGCTCTCTATGGTGCACCTGTAGGTCAGGATGCTCTCTATGGTGCACCTGTAGAAGGTCAGGATGCTCTCTATGGAGCACCTGTAGAAGGTCAGGATGCTCTCTATGGTGCACCTGTAGAAGGTCAGGATGCTCTCTATGGTGCACCTGTAGAAGGTCAGGATGCTCTCTATGGTGCACCTGTAGAAGGTCAGGATGCTCTCTATGGTGCACCTGTAGAAGGTCAGGACGCTCTCTATGGTGCACCTGTAGAAGGTCAGGATGCTCTCTATGGTGCACCTGTAGAAGGTCAGGATGCTCTCTATGGTGCACCTGTAGAAGGTCAGGATGCTCTCTATGGTGCACCTGTAGAAGGTCAGGATCCTCTCTATGGTGCACCTGTAGAAGGTCAGGATGCTCTCTATGGTGCACCTGTAGAAGGTCAGGATGCTCTCTATGGTGCACCTGTAGAAGGTCAGGACGCTCTCTATGGTGCACCTGTAGAAGGTCAGGATGCTCTCTATGGTGCACCTGTAGAAGGTCAGGATGCTCTCTATGGTGCACCTGTAGAAGGTCAGGATGCTCTCTATGGTGCACCTGTAGAAGGTCAGGATCCTCTCTATGGTGCACCTGTAGAAGGTCAGGATGCTCTCTATGGTGCACCTGTAGAAGGTCAGGATGCTCTCTATGGTGCACCTGTAGAAGGTCAGGATGCTCTCTATGGTGCACCTGTAGAAGGTCAGGATGCTCTCTATGGTGCACCTGTAGAAGGTCAGGATCCTCTCTATGGTGCACCTGTAGAAGGTCAGGATGCTCTCTATGGTGCACCTGTAGAAGGTCAGGATGCTCTCTATGGTGCACCTGTAGAAGGTCAGGATGCTCTCTATGGTGCACCTGTAGAAGGTCAGGATGCTCTCTATGGTGCACCTGTAGAAGGTCAGGATGCTCTCTATGGTGCACCTGTAGAAGGTCAGGATGCTCTCTATGGTGCACCTGTAGAAGTTGCAGAGTATCCTGGAGTCCATGTTGAACCTCCTCAGCCTGCAGGGGAAGAAGAGCCGCTGTCGAGCTTTTTTGGTGATGGTGGTGGTGTGAAGAGTCCATGTCATACCCTTTTATCCTTTCCTATCTTGTCTTAACTCCCAACTTGTCTTCCATTGATTCCTCTCGTATCTCCTCCTCTCGTCTTCCATCAGCTCACATGCAACCAAAACCATTTAAAAATCCAAACTATTTCTTCACTTCCTGCTGTGTAAATACAACTTAATAAAAGTACCCCGCCTGTAAATCAGCAGCTCTCTGATGACTCCCCTCAGCTCGTCTGACAGGTAGTGGACTCCTGAGGAGCGTCGACATCTGTTTCCTGTCAGCTTTCTGCAAACATCACATTCATCATGTCGTTACAGCGGGAGGTCAGAGCCTCGCAGAGAGAAACAGAGAGGAGGAGGGTCATTAGTGAAGCTGCAGAAGAACAGCGTACACAGCATGTGGCCCAAAGTATACGGACAGATTATCAGACTCCCAGTTGGATAAACATACTTACATACCTAAAATCTGTTTACATGCCAGAAGTTAGACTATCCCCAACGTTAAGTTTGTCTGCACGTTTACAGCCCTCAACGAGGACACACACACACACACATTTTCGACACATTCAGAGCAGCAATAAACTGTAGGACGTGGATAAAATGTCAAAAGATGCAGTCACTTAATTTGGGATATCACATGATGTATCTGAAGACCATTTACATCAGGGGTGTCAAACTCAATTTCATCTCGGGCCACATTCGCATCATGGTTGCACTCAAAGGGCCAGTTTTATATATAAGACTATATAAAAATACATATATAAATATTTAATATATATAAAATAATGTATTATATTACATTATTGCCTCTGCATTGGATTATTATCGGATAGGGTAATAACTTCATAAGTCTCTTCAGGGACATTTTGAAAAAAAAGTAACATTTTGAAAAAAAAGTCAGATTCTGAGAAAAAAGTCAAATTTGAGATGCATTGTGGGACATGTAGTTTATGGGCAACGTGCTTCTGTAAATCGGCATGTAACCGTATAATAAACATATTATATTCTTTGCAAGCTCTTGTGGGGCCACATAAAAATAAGTCACGGGCCAGATTTGGCCCCCGGGCCTTGAGTTTGACACCCCTGATTTACATGCACACAAACCTATAGAACAAACTACAGGAGAGGGACAACCCCAAAAACAAAATAGGGCCTCTTTAAGGAGTTGATGTTATTCATGCTAGAGTTGCTGTGGATGTTAAAGTGTTTCTTTACTTTTGTCCAAACTCCTGGATGGATCGTGAGGAAATGTGGTTTATTATTCACGTTGCCCTCAAAGTAAATATGAATACTGATCCATAACTTTGGTGATCATCTGGTACCCCAACATTATCTTGTGTACAGTACTTTGCTTCATGAACAAATTCCTGCATAATTAATGAGATCATCTGCGTCATCTAAACTGTATCTTTCTGCTAATGAGCTACTAGCATGCTAACGTGCTAAACTATACAGTGTGTGCTAACAGAGCCTCACAGAGCTGCTGCTGTAACTGAACACTCTGAGTGTTGTTATCTGATCTGATGGACTGATGCCATGTGGCTGACAACTTAATTAACCCCTCGAGGACAATAAGGACAGACAGACTGATTGATTGATTGATGGATTGAGGAAACACGAGGAGAGAGAGGGAGCTGGGACGATACTGCTTATGGTTTAACAACGAGGCCATCAGGACACGAACAGATTGTCCATGTGCAGTCGAGCTTTTCCCCTTCAGACAGAGCTTTATTCCCACTTCACTGTTTATCTTTGTTATTCCTGTATCATCCCCTTCGGACAGCTCTCTGTAAACGATTCGTTGTATTTGCTGGGAGCTTTAAGGGAGCATCAGCTGTCCTTAAAACGGTTCTAAAAAAGTGGGTTTTTTTTTTTAGCCGATACCTGCAGGAACACTGTAGTAACAGGTTCACATTACAGCTTTATTATTGTGTTTAATGCACATTACATTGGGCCAGGCGCAGGAAGGGATAAACGGACCCTCTGTTTTATGTTTGTATCCACCATCTGTTCCTCCTTTTGAAGTATTACATTGATTCCTGGCATCCTCCAAAGGTTCCTTATGTTTGCTTTCTCTTAAGTCTGAGAAGAAACAAGAAAGCAGTCAATATAAAGTCAAGTTTTAACAGTACCTTAAACTCTTTGTCCATAGCAACGAAACACATGTTATTGTATTCATTTGAGGAACCATACCTTAGTTCTTCTACTTCTTACAGCCTATTTACATTTATATAGTGTTATGTGTTGTTTAGGGGGCGTGACTTGTGCTGGTAATCTTCCACACGCCTCCAATTCATGATAAAAGTGGGATTAATCCTCCAGCTCACCTGCAGGGAATGAGCACGTGTGGTTGGTTAAGAACGTAATAGTGCATCAGGAGTTGACATCTCCAATTTGTAACTTTTCCAACAGCAGTTTAAGAGAAATATAGGAGAGATTTAGGGGAACGATACGACCACATGAACTTCTCGCAGTCTGACAGCAGAGGAACTTCCACTCGTCTCAGTGGAAATCTCACAAGAACAAACTGAGAGAGTTTCTTATCGATTCTGCTGGAGACACTCAGTCCTCTTCTCGTTTCCTAGGATTTTCGGGCAGTGCGGTTGGAGGTCACGGAGGTCACGGGGGTCTCGGAGGCGTTCTGGCGGAGAGAGGCGGTCTGGGTTCGGTGCTGCGAGATCTGGTGAAGCCGGGAGACGAGAACCTGAGAGAGATGAACAAGAAGCTGCAGAACATGTTGGAGGAGCAGCTGACCAAGAACATGCACCTGCAGAAGGTAACACACACACACGGGGACACACGGACGGACACACGGACACACACACACACACGGGGACACACACACACACACACACGGACACACACACACAAATATCCTTGTAAAATGTCTTGTTTGTCCAAAAAAATCCAAATATTTTATTTTTGTCGATTAAATGTGTATTTTGTTGCAAACATTGTCATCAATACATTTTATGTCATTGATTTATTGTTTAAGCATTACATACAAACATTCAACACACACAGAAACATAAATAAATGAGGGAACTGAGCAGTGTGACATCACTGCATCAAAGGGTTTCTGGGTAATGTAGTTCAATGCTAGACAACGTTACGTAACGGCTTTAAATCAGCTGTGTGTGTGTGTGTGTGTGTGTGTGTGTGTGTGTGTGTGTGTGTGTGTGTGTGTGTGTGTGTGTGTGTGTGTGTGTGTGTGTGTGTGTGTGTGTGTGTGTGTGTGTGTGTGTGTGTGTGTGTGTGTGTGTGTGTGTGTGTGTGTGTGTGTGTGTGTGTGTGTGTGTGTGTGTGTGTGTGTGTGTGTGTGTGTGTGTGTGTGTGTGTGTGTGTGTGTGTGTGTGTGTGTGTGTGTGTGTGTGTGTGTGTGTGTGTGGAGCATAGTTAAGTGGTGGTGGTAACTGTTCCCATGACAATGAGCAAGAACAGCACCGTTTTAAACATGTCTGGTGTGTGAAGCGGGGGGTGTAGCCGTGTTTGAGGAGTGTGTAGGAGGACACATCACCCAGAGGGAGGTCCAGGTTACACACGCGCACACACACACAGACTGCAGTAAACAGACGAGATACACGGTTTCTGTTTGTCGCTTCGCTAGTTTTATAAATGTAAATGTTCAGATTGAGAGAGTTTCAATACGTGCTCAGCTAAAGTTTTCAATATCAGGTGAGTTTCACAGCTGCTAACGCAATCTCTACCAGTTGGTTTGCCCCCATCAGACACCAAAGAACAATACCTGTCCATAACTATTTTGGAGAAAACAGGACAGTTAAAGGTAGGGTAGGTAAGTTTGAGAAACCGGCTCGAGATACACTGTTTGTTATATTCCATGGAATGCTCTTAACATCCCGATAGCAATGAATATCTTAAGTGCTTTGACAAAAAATCCATTAAAAAATATCATCTGTGGAAGCCGTAATACTGTAAAAAGCACGACCAATCGGGCCGGCTAAAATAACTGGGTGGCCTACCTGCCTGTCAGCCTTCCATCTGTGCACAAACTTATCTCGTGCCCTCATTGGTCATGTGCGCGTTCGTGTGTGTTGGAGGAGGGGCTCTGTAAGGAAGTGGCAGATTTTCTCCGGTCGTGTATTTTCAAATTCTAGCGATCTCGAGCTGGTTTCTCAAAATTACCTACCCTACCTTTAAAAAACTGTTTTATAAATCTAAAATTAACCACAAAGTATTTTCAGAAAGATATCTTAAAGGCAAACTTTACCCCCAAAATTATGTTTTTACATAAATAACTAATCCCATGTTACGTTGAATTAATTGATGAACACTTTGCCTATCTCACATAAATGCAAGTTTCACGAAGAATCATAATATTGGTCAGCTCGTACTTTAATATATTCACGGATTTTTTTTTATTCTTTTTCGAAATATCACTAAACCAACAGTTAAGATAAAACAAGACATTTGAAGACCACGCTTTTTCCACTTGTCCGACATATTATAGACACCAGAAATCAATCAAAACAGATAAATCAACAGACAGAATATTTGTAAGTGGCAGCTCAATTGTAAAATAACCACTTTCTCTGCAGGACCTGGAGCTTTTGTCCCAGGAATTAGTCCGTCTCAGTAAAGAGAATCCTGGTGGCGGTGCTGCCGGATCGAGATGAGACTATCGCCTGGAAACATCCGTCCCTTCCCTTCCTTCTCACTACTGTTGATCACCTCAGCTGGAGAGTTTGGGCTGGGCTCAGACTAAAACCTGGAAACAGCATTTCTTCCTCTTTCATTCCCTGCGTTTGTGACCTCAGACCGGTTTTGAAAGGTGTAGAAGAAGAAACTAAAGACAAGACGGGAATGGAAAAGTTTGGTCAGCTCTTTTGTGTTGCTATTGAATGTACTGTAATTAGACTGCACCACTCAGTTCCTCTGAGCCCTGGCTACAACCTGGAAAACAAACATTGTAACTGACTGTAACGCTTTACTTTATGCTTGTTTCTGTCCGAAGGTGATTTCAGAAAAGCACCTTTAAGATTCTAATGTCTGGCTTATGGGTCCGGGCTATGTCCTGGAAAACAGTTGCCTGGTATATAACTGAATGAATGATTTATTTCATTGTTTATGTGCAGTAACTCTGTTGTGATCTGGCTATTTACTGGGCTTCCTGTCTGCAGCTAAATACTTCAGTAGTAAATGCCCCGTGGGGTCTGTCTATGACCTGGATTGCAGAGATTCATAACCGACAGAAACTACGATTTCATTGACGTTTAAGATCATTTTTCCCTTCTTCAAAACTGAAATTTGACCCAAGATTTCAGCCACATTTCATAATATCTCCTCGGATGTAACAGAGATTATTTCAGTTCTTCTTCCTGATGATGAAAGCCATGCAATGTGACGGAAACCTAAAGTAACAAATAATAAGTTAGTGGAGCTGTTTGTTAAATGGTAAAACGTTTTTTGTTCACCTTTTCTCTATTTTCTTATGTTTTTCTGCCAAAGTGACCAATGGCAAATTTGATAGTATGGCATTTTTTATCGATATTGGATAAACGGTTGCCCCTTTACATCTCTTAGACACAAAAACATAAAGGGAATAGAGTACGATTTTAATTTATACATGGCAGTTAGTCGAGCTACTATAACTAGCTACATCAACAAATAATCAGTGACCGAGAAATGTACGAAAAGTCTGTAGCTTTGCAGAAATAACAACTCTTGTTTCTCTAAAAATGAAACATGTTAAGCTATCTCCTGCTAACAACATTCAACGCAAATTATAATGTGCGACATATTTTCTAAAAACTCACTTGAACTCATTTAATCAATGTGTGTTCATCGGCCTAGGCTATGTCATGGAGCAAAAACAAACTTTACTCATATGTTAACTGATTGAATATTGTTTTTGTGGTTGTTTCTGGGCCATGGGTATTTCCTGAACATGTTTTGTGTCTTTTGGTTGTTTGTTGGAAAGACACGTTTTTGTTTCCCGGTTATTATGTGGAACTTTTACCTTTTTTTTATTCATGTTCCAAAATCTGCAATGAAAAACAAATCCTTGTTGGAAATCCACCTCCGTCTCCTGTCATTGAATACGTTTCATTACAGGAATGTGACATGGTTCAGTCTATTTGCTGGATTTTAAAGACTGTAATGCATTTAAGACTTGGTGGTTTCGGGGTTTTATCCAAAAAGAAAGAAGTCATACATGTATCAGAATAATTAGAATTTAAGTGCATGCAAAAATGACACATTCACTATTTTTCTGATATATGAGAATACAATTAGTTAAAGAAATTTGCTTTTTAAAAAGTCAGTCCTCTGGGGCGTCTGGTTTATTTAAGTCTGGTTTGGAAAATGAAAACTGAAAAGACTGTCTTGTCAATTTGCTTTGTTTGTTTTGGATAATTCTGCGCTCTTGAATCACAAGAACTGTTTGTCTTGCACTATTAATTTTGTTGTGACTTATTTCCATCCCTACTGGGAACACCAAATGGTGCAACAAAAAAAAAAGAAAAGTGAAACTGTCAGCCTGCTATTCCATGTTTTCTGTTGGACTCGGTCTACTTCCTGCTTGAAACAACGTATCTTATTATTTTGACTGTATCTTGAAATCTGTAACAAAAATGGATGAAGTTAGACTTTTTAACACACACTAACTGTTGGCTCTACCTTTGTTTGCTACTTGGACCCTGACTACATCCTGGACTGAACCTATTGCACTGGCTGCTTCTGGTGACCGGGCTCTGACTAAATCCTGGATATTATGCTTGTAGCATTATGTTGTAACTGCCTGAACATTTCTGCTTTATTTTTTTGTTTGTACACTGCAAAGGAATATACATTTCAGTCTGAACTTCTCAGAGCGAGTGAGAAAAACTCGACTTGTTTTCAGGCAGCTTTTACTCAACCTCAGATCCTTAAGACCCAAACTTGAAGGCATTATTAAATATTGAAATGAAGGTAAATGTAGAGAAATATGATCTTGATGTCATACTGTAAATCAAATTTTAATTACTTAACAATTAAGGTTTCAGCTGCACTGAAAACGCTTAAAAGTTTTCCCTCTTTCACTGAGACTGACTGAGCGGGATCGGTCTATGTGCTGGACAGTGACTCGGCCCGTTGCTTTGTTTGTTTGTTTAAATCTGTATATATATACACGCTGTGATATGACTTCTAACTGTATGAAGAATCAACCGATCTATTTATGAGACTGATGATTATGACGCTAATTATTGCAACATGAGAAAATATGATATAAAAATTATTGTCTGGAGACGATGAGTCCGTGTTTTCCTTTGCATGTTCACACATTTCAGGACAAATTGTTTACTATAAATGTGAAAATATATTGAGCTTAAATCTAGTTTTAGTGAATTATCAATGATCAACAGTAGCCCAAGTTAAACAGAGCTAATGATTATCCTTTTAATACCTTACTTACTTTATAAACTATCAATATTTTCTGTGGTTTTTAGGGTTATTAGATGTTACCAGATAAGATGTTACTTTATTAACCTTAATGTTATGTTTGTGAATTAAGTAAAGTTTATATATGTAAAAAAAAGCAGAACAAATGAACAAGAATCAATTGTATTTCTGACGGGCTCTGTCTACTTCCTGGACTGAATGCTTAATAAAGGAGTGAGGAATGAAGGGAGAAGAAGCATTTTTGGTGTTATTGTCTTAAAGGTCCCATGTCATGCTTTTCTGGTTATTACCCGTCCCCTTGTGTGTTATGTATCTTTTTCTGCATGTAAACGGTCTGCAGAGTCACAAACCCTCAAAGTACACCCTGTAGCGAGTAAAACTCTAACACAGAAAATACCTGTCGATGCTGCCCCAGAACGCCTCGTTGGACATTTCTCTTTTTCTTCCTGGGTACAGTGACGTGCCCATACCCAAATGGACCCATTGGTCCAAATGGACCAATCCATGGAGCCGTTACGTTACGTCCGCGGAGCCGTTACGTTACGCGGACTTCCTCACACACACACACTCAATCTTTTCTCAGCTGCAGCTCCACCGATTTCTCCTCCCTGAGACGGCGGGACGCGGCGAGGCTGTGAGTCGGTGTGTGAGCACACACACAAACTCCCAGCCAGGCTGCGGGTGTGTGTGTGTTCGGGCTGGTCTCGCTGTCTCGCAGACGGCCACTGAGCTCATAGGGAGGGGGGGGGCAGGAGCTCCAACAAGCCGTTTAGGACAGAGAGTGAATACACATACTACACAGAGATGCTGTATGAGAAACCAATGTGATTTTGGAAAATTGCACAATATAAATCTATTTTAGTAGATCTCAACAATGGAATTATGATCAGTAGAAATGGCCATGACATGGGACCTTTAAAGTGAGGGTTAATTTTTCTCACCAAATCGGCAGAAAGTTGAATGAAGTTTGCTTTTGTTTTTCTCTGCAGGTGACACTACATCAGCTCCCACAATGCTCTCTGTTTTTGTTGATTAAAAACTCTTCCTGCTCTCAGTAAAGTTTTAGTGATGGAGGTGAAGGAGTTTGGGGCCCTCAGAGGGGGGGGGGGGGGCTCTAATTAGCTGCCGGGCACTTCCTGTCCCGCAGAGAGAGAGAGAGACAGATTAGAGGGGTGACGGGGTCCGCCTTAACGAGATAGCGCCTGATTGGCCGGTGCCGGGGTTAATTGAAGGGGAGGAAGTGGATGATGAGTTCTAAGAAATAAGAAATGTGGTTTTAATTAGAATGAACGCTCGGAGGAAGCAGGTCTGTCTATCTGTCTGTCTTAGGGGACACTTTTTGTTATTTCTTTGTCATTTTCTTGTCAAGTAGTCATTTTCCTCATTTTGTGTCATTACGAGTGTCTTTGCAGTTTTTTTATTCTCTGTTCAGTCAATTTGAGTCTTTTTGAAGTTGTTTTGAATCTCTATAGTAATTTTGAGTCACTGTATGGTCATTCCTACTGTCTTTCTGTCTGTCAGCCATTTGTTGTAATTTGTTATCTCGTTTTCATTTTGTGTCTCTTTGTAGTTTGTTTTTTTAATAGCCAATCTCCTCCTGTTATTGCTTTGTGTCTCCTTTGGGTCCTTTTGTTGTGTCTATTAAGTCATTTGGGTCTATTTTATTTTTCATTTTAAGTAAGTATTTTGAATATCTTATTGGTTTTGGGTGTCAAGTTGGGGCTCTGTTTGTATGTATTTTTTGTTCATGTATATCCAAGAAATATAACAGTCATTGGGTGGAGGTTAGAACATAGAAATTCAAGATCACAAACCGACACACACACACACACACACACACACACACACACACACACACACACACACACACACACACACACACACACACACACACACAGTTGGTGTTCAAGGAACATGTTTCCTCCTGAATCAGCACATTAAGCTTAACTATTTATTTTATGTTATCAGGTGTTTGATTTTGCAGCTAAGATGGATTCCAACTAGGATCAATGAGTCTTGTCTACAAATATAAATTGTAATGTATCAGTTAATTTGATTTTTTACTAACAACCTCAATCTGTAGGTAATCAAATGACGTGGAGAAAGGACCTCAAAACGTTTTTTCCAGTTTTTCTAGTTTAAAGTGGTGAAATAGCGCTCCCTGGCTTGTCAATGAGACTGATAGTGTTAATTATATGGTGAGAAGTGGTACTGCACCCGGACCGGTGACAGTTGGAGCAGGTGAAGCTATTTACTGTTACAACAACTCTCAAAACCAGTCGAAATATATTCTGTTTATCGTCACAAAAAATTTGATAATTAAGAAAAAATACTAAAAGGGTTCTGTTACTCTCATTGTGATGATAATAAAACAAAAGTTAATGGTAACTTCGGGCCGTTGGCGAACGCTAGCATACAGGTGTTGCTATTAGCATTAGCTCCGGGTTAGCTTGCTAACAGTGATGAAGGGAGTGTCAAAAACCGCTGGAAAACAGATGCTGAGAGACGTATACTAACGGCTTCACCTCCGTTGAGAAGAGAGGAACACTTTTTAAATAAAAAAGGTAGGTCATATACACCTGCTGTCTGTCTACTGGGGTTATGGGTAAACACAGTAAATACAGTGTGGTACTATTATTACTTTAATTCAAGTAAAGAACTTGAATACTGTTTCCCACCACTGGAAAAAGTATTCAGATCTTCCACTTGAGTAAACGTAGATGTAATCAGATCTTGTACTTGAGTAAAAGTAGAAGTACTCAGATCTTGTACTTGAGTAAAAGTAGAAGTACCAGAGTGTAGGAATACTCTGTTACAGTACAAGTCCTGCATTCAAAATGTTACTCAAGTAAAACTAGAAAAGTATTATCATCAAAATATAGTTAAAGTAGCGACAGTAAAAGTAGTCATTGTGCAGATTGGTCCATTTCACAATAATATATGATTATATTTCACATCATTAATCCAAATCTGTTAAGTAACTAAAGGTATTACATAAATGTAGTGGAGTAAAAGTACAAAGAAGCTCAAAAGGGGAATACTCAAGTAAAGTACAAGTTTCTCAAAAGTGTACTTAAGTACAATACTTGAGTAAATCTACTTAGTGACTTTACACCTCTGACAAATAGAGGCCTCTTTTCTGCAGAATAATGATTTCACTTTTGTTACTTTAAGTACATTTATCTGATAATTGAGATTTTGAATGTAATACTTTTACTTGTACTGTATTATCTTGAGTGTTTGTCAGTGGAAACTCCACAGAAACCCGACCCTGTGTTCCTGAATGTCTGCCCAGCTGATCCTCTCTTTGTGTCGTACTGTACCGACACACAGACCAACAACAACATGTGTGTGTTGCCTCACCTGTCCTTCTACCTGTTCAGACTGTGTGTTCTCTGTAACCTGACCCTCTGTCTGCAGGACTCACTGTACGGAAATACAACTCCTCTCTGTCCTCAGGCTGACTGCGGCACCATCAATCATCTGCTTATGTTTATATTTAGTTGAATTCTAAATAACTATGACCTAAAAAACTAAGATTTTGTACTCTGTCTTTGTTAAGGGGTGACGCGTTTAGTCGATCCACCGAGATGTTTTTGGAGGCTACAGTATAATAGCAGACACTGCTGTTTTCAGACTCTTAAATAGGTTCAGCTTTTCTCTGTTTATATCATAGGAGACTGAATATATGTTAAATATTTAAGTTAAATTAAAAGTTTTAAAAATAAAATTTAAAGGCATTAGCTTGGATTTTGAGAAACTTTTCGGACATTTCTTTACTATTTTTGGAGATTTTATAGACAAAGTTTTTTTTCCATCTGTGTTTCCATTTCCCGTGTGTCGTACACATCACCTAAAAGGTAAATATTGTACTTTTCACTCCACTACTCTTGTCTGTAAGCTTAAGTTACTTTCACCGTTTTTCATTCATGTCCAGTGAAAACCAGAAAAACCCTGGATGATTTTGAATGTTTTTTGGAGTACTTTTTAGTATGTTTTACGTATTTTAAATACACATTTTAATGCACAATGAAGACTTTTAACTTAAGTACTTTCACTACATTTTAATGCACAATCATTATGATAACTTTGAATACTTTACCTATATTTTCTGCACAAACTGCACTTCTAATTTAAGTATTTTAACTACATTTTAGTCACAATCAGTTATTTTACTTTAAAGGTAAGTTTGAGAAACCGGCTCGAGATACACTTTTTGTTATATTCCATGGAATGCTCTTAACATCCCGATAGCAATGAATATCTTAAGTGCTTTGACAGAAAATCCATTAAAAAAATGTTCATCTGTGGAAGCCGTAGTACTGTAAAAAGCACGACCAATCATACCGGCCCGGCTAAAATAACTGGATGGCCTACCTGCCTGTCAGCCTTCCATCTGTGCACAAACTTATCTCGTGCCCTCATTGGTCATGTGCGCGTTCGTGTGTGTTGGAGGAGGAGCTCTGTAAGGAAGTGGCAGATTTTTTCTTGCTGTGTATTTTCAAATTCTAGCGATCTCGAGCTGGTTTCTCCAAAATTACCGACCCTACCTTTAAGTACTTTCACTTTATTTTCCTACACATTCAATACTTTAACTTTTTGTGCTGATACAAACTTAGATACTTAGATAACTTACAACACAATCAGTACCCTACTTTAAGTACTTTATTTTTCTGCACAATTAATACTTTTCACTTTTATTCGGACACATACTGTACTACTTACTAAATACTACCTTTACTTAAAAACAGTGTTGAATCCATGACCTTTATTGTGGTGGAGTATTCACAATGTGTTATTAGTACTTTTATTGCATTAAAAGCTCTAAATATTTTGGTTTCCATCCT